AGTGTGGCAACAGTAGTGAGGTTGGCCCAGGATCAGACATTGTTTCGTTCTGCTGTGCATAAGGTCGTTATGAGTCGGTGCTGACTCGATGGCACCTAATAACAACAACAATATAAAGTATATAAAATACACAAATTGAGAAGACTAGTGACCCAGTAGAAAATGAAAGAGAATATGATCAGGCCTACTCAGAAGCAAATGGCTTCAAGAGTCTCAATCATAATTAAATATAAATTCAAATTTTAAGATCATTTGCTTCTTTAGTCCTGATTTTGCAAATATACCAAGGATTCAAGTATTACTCATTAAAGAGATAATGGGGCAATTGTTGGCCAATTTCTAATTAACATTGGTTCTTTGAAAGGACATTTTAAGAAACATTAATTTTCTAAGGGCCCAAGTATAAGCATATTTCTCCTAGCAATCTTAAGTGGATTTTTTCCCTTTGTGATAAACTCTAGTTTTCCCTGCAGAAAGCCCTGGAGATTTAACAAGAAGCCCAGAGATGGATAAGCTTAAGTCAGTAGCAAAGTGTTATGCTTATATAGAAACATCCTCCAACCCTTCAGACATTGACAAGATGACAAATGGAGAAACGTCATCCTACTGGCAGTCAGATGGCAGTGCCCGCTCACACTGGATTCGGTGAGTGATACAATACTAGATCTTAAGTGAAAGTTCAAAAAATTACCTGTTTCCTTATTCTTACACCATTGGTATATTATTATTATTATGTTTTGTAAGTTTTGTGATGTTTCTATTTAACTGACTGTATTTACCTGACTCAGTGGGAATGGCTATATGAAAGCTATTGTGTGAATCCAGTAAAAGGAATTGGTTCATAAACTTAAGTAATTTCTTTATTAGGTTCTGTTGAGTCCATTTTTGAGTCATAGTGTTTCCATGTGATAGAGTAGAACTACTCTAAAGGGTTTTCTAGGCTATTCAAGCTCACTAGCTGCTCCTTGGAAACCCTGTCCAGGGTCACTATGGGTCAGAACCGACTCGACGGCACTTAGCGACAACAACAATCTTTACAGAAGGAAATCGCCAGGTCTTTTTTCTCTTTGATCGCTGTTTGGGTTCAAACTGCCAGCTTCTGGTTAACAGCAAAGCGCTTAACCGTTGTGCCTCCAGAGCTCCTTAAAGAAGGAAATAGCCCTCAATTGATACTTTCTAGGAGTCCCGGTATGGTGCTGTAGCATAAGTACTAGACTGCTAACTGTAAGGTTGGTGGTTCAAACCCAGTAGTTGCTCCTTGGAAACCCTGTACAGGGTCTCTGTGAGTTAGAACCAACTCCATGGAACTTAACAACACCACCAAATACTTTGTAATACTGACTTCAAATCTTTTCCCTTGGTTTCTCAGGAAAATAGCCCTTGACTAATATTTTATATTGACTTCAGAACTTTTTTCCTAGTTTCTCAATATTATAAGGTGCAAGTACAATTTTTATATCAGATATGATTTTGCTTTTGAAGTTTATAACAGGGGATAGGGTTGTCAGGAATCCTGCAATGAAATTCTATAAGTTCTGAATCTGTTACATAAATTTTTACCTGTCCCTGCTGAAAATGGGTTAAGTTTAGTTGAAACAGAATTAATTGCCTTGTTTTATTTTGGAGTCCGTATTTTGACTTTTAGCTACCTATCCAGTTTATAAATGAGGAAATATAGTCAGTTGGTTCTCAAGATAGAAAATTTGGATGCAGTTTAGAATTTGCTTTTTGCTAGGCAAAAAGCTCTGTAGCATAGTGGTTACGAGTTGGGCTGATAATCTCAAAGTCAGCAGTTTGAAACTACCAGCTGTTCCGCAGGAGAAAGATAAGGATTTCTGTTCCTGTAAAGATTTACAGCCCCGGAAACACTAAGCAGGGTCACTATGAGTTGGAACTAACTCCACGGCACATAACCACCACCAACAACCATATTTTGACTTTTAGTTACCTGCCCATTTTGAAGATGAGGAAGTATAGTCAGTTGGCTCTCAAGATAGAAAATTTAGGTGCAGTTTAGAATTTGCGTTTTGCTAGAATGTTCGTATTATACTTTTTTCTTTTACTAATAATAGCTTCAGAAGAAATGTAATGTCAATCTTGGACTGAAACTTGTTTTTGAAACTTGGGAAGAGTATAAGGACTTTGAAACCAATAGCATTGTAAGCTAGCTGCTATTAGAAAAATCATTCTTGGAGTATATCAAATATAAGATGTTTTGAGATGAGGCTTATGGACCCTACCAATTTGTGACCTATATAAATATTGTAATTGGTATTATCTGTGTTTTCCAGTTTAAAAATGAAGCCCGATGTTGTGCTTAGGCACCTCTCCATTGCTGTGGCTGCCACTGACCAGAGCTACATGCCACAGCAGGTGACAGTAGCTGTGGGGAGGACTGCCAGTGATCTTCAGGAAGTCAGAGATGTGCACATCCCCAGCAACGTCACTGGCTATGTGACACTGCTGGAAAACGCCAACATCAGTCAACTTTGTGAGTCCACGGAGAGTACCGTGCCTTTCTAACTGAGGGGGGAAAGGGAGGAGAGAAAGGAAAGCCTGTTTTTTAACAAATGCTTTATAAGGCCTGAGGCCTTATCCAGAAAACCCTCTAAAGTAGAGAAGCTGTTAGTTTTCCTGTTGAAATTTACTTCTTTTGTTGTACGTAAAAGTCATTATTTCATCTATTAATTGTTTTTAAAAGTTATAGAATATATTGCTTTTTAAAATTATAGAGTAGTAGTAAACTTGTTTTAATAGAAAATGTTTTATTGTTGTTTTCTTATTGGAAAATTAGAAATATATAGACAAAAATTACTCAAAATCCTACTACTCAGCTATTGTCACTGAGTACCTGGGTGTGGATACTTCTAGATCATTTCTCTTGTGTGTATGTTTGTGACTGTCCCTGGGTAGAGCAAACAATTTGCACTCAAATACTAATGTAAAGATTGGTTTGTTTGAAATCATCCAGTTTGAACCATCTGTTTTCATTAAAATTATAGCCAAAAAACTATGCATTGATTTCACTTTGTAAACATGGGGTTACCATGAGTTGAAATTGACTCAGTGGCAACAATTTGTTTTTTTTCTTCCAAAAAATACAGCTGTGTATACATTTATGTATTTATACAAACAGGTGTGTCTTTTATATGTAATATATATATATATATATAATTTATCTTTTACAATAATGGTGATGTTCTGTACATGCTATTTTATCATTTTTTAAACATGTTGCTACATCATATATGGGAGTCCTGGTGCGGCACTATGGATTAATGTGCTGGACTGAAAAGTTGTTTGAACTGCAAGGTTGGTTGAACTGCAAGGTTCAAGCTCACCAGTCACTTCTTTGGAAACCCTATACAAGGTTGCTATGGGTTGGAAAACCACTCAACAGCATTTAACAACAACAAAACATCATGTGTTCATTCATACCTTTAGTGTTTATAAGTTGTTGTTAAGTGTCGTCAAGTCAGTTTCAACTCATAGTCACCCTGTATAGGGCTTCCTAGGAGCAGCTGGTGGATTTGAACTGTCAACCTTGTGTTAGCAGTCCAGTACTTATCTTACCGTGCCACAGCAATAGTCCAGTGTTACAGGAGTATGCTTTAGTTTTAACCAGCCCCTTATTTTTGGACATTTAGGTGGTTTGCAATTTTATGCTATTATAACCTTGCTTCACACATAGATTTTGGAAATAATCACAATTCTGTGATTTCTTTCCAGGCTTATTTCATTCAGGAAGCCGGAATGCTTCATGTTTTATCTCATTTCTTCTCATGCTTTCCTGGGCCAAACGAAGTGTCCTTACTATGCTCAAAAGGAACTGAGGCCTAGGGAGGTAGAGTCTTTGTGTCTCACCCCTAGGCAAAGAAGTAGTTAAACTTGTGGAGTAGAAGCTTCTCGTCTTATACTGTAGTGGTCTTTCCTCTTAAGTTGTGCCCTTTTTACTTCTCACTTCCTTCTTTCCTAAATAAGAATTTATGACGTATCTTAAAAGTAAACCATGCCTATGCCAGCTGTTTGGGCTTACTTAGTAAAAAGTAGTTATCACAATTGTGTATGAACCAGCTACTGTTTTATAACTCAACCCAACTTTCTGAACCCTAGAGAAAATTCCTGAGATATTCTTACTCATTTAGTCAGGGGTTTTTTTGTTTTTGTTTTGTCATTGGGTTTGTTTTTTTTTAATACTCTTTGTGTTAATTATCAAGACTCAGAAATTCTTGATTTTTCATGTTATTAGTACTTCTGAAATTGGGCAAATTTATCGTATAGTAGTTTGATGGCATGCAGTATTTCTGTCATTAAAGTATATCTTCAGAATTTTCTTTTCCAACTCTAGATGACTATTTTGCTTTTAGTTTGAAGCCTAGCATTTGCTGAACTCAGGCCATGAATCCAATACTGAATTTGTTGTTTGTGCCTGACAGATGTGCAGATCAACATAAAACGGTGTCTTAGTGATGGATGTGACACTAGAATTCACGGTCTGAGGGCTGTTGGATTTCAGAGAGTCAAGAAATCTGGAGTCTCCGTCTCAGATGCTTCTGCAATATGGTACTGGTCCCTGCTAACATCTCTGGTGACGGCTTCCATGGAGACAAACCCAGCCTTTGTCAAAACAGTGCTGAACAACACTCAGTAAGTCACCCTCATGGTTTTCCAGCCCCGTCTATGTCTACTCATTCCTTGGGAATGCTTTCGGAAATGTCACTGAGCAGCCTCCTAGCATCAAGACTTGGTCAGAAGGTCAACCCCGATGCCTTGTGGCTTCCTGCTTGTATTTTTACTTTCCCACTACTGCTTTCCTTAATGTGCTCATCTCATAAACTGTGTTTTCTTGTTTTGACGTTTCCCGTTCCATAGTTTGTACATAAAATGTTCCATGACATTGGCTATGTCTGCACTCTCCCCATCTCTACCCTCGCTCACCATTTCTATTTCTGTCTGAACAGTGTTCCATTGTATGTATGTTTCACATTCTGTGTATTCATCTGTTGATGGACACTAGAGTTTCCACCTTTTGGTTATTGTGAATAATGCTGCAGTAAACATTGGTGTCCACCACACGTCTGTCAGTTTGTCATGCTGTGGTGGCTTGTGAGTTGCTGTGATTCTGGAACGTATGCCACTGGTATTTTAAATAACCAGCAGGGTCACCCATGGTGGACAGGTTTCAGATACTTCGTTTCTCATACTTTGGACATATTGTCAGGAGGGACCAGTCACTGGAGAAGGATATCATGTTTGGTAGGGTGGAGGGTCAGAGAAAAACAGGAAGACCACCAGTGAGATGGATTGGCAAAGTGACAACATCAGTGGGCTCAACGATAGTGAGGTTGGCCCAGGACCAGGCAGTGTTTCGTTCTGCTGTGCATAAGGTCTCTATGAGTCGGCACCAACTCACTGGCACCTAACAACAACAAACATTGGTATAGAAGTACCTGAGTTCCAGCTCTCAACTTTTGACTATATACATAGGGGTGGATTTATTGGATTGTATGGAAATTTATATTTATTAACTTTTTGAGGCACTGTCAAACTATGTTCATAGTGGCTGTACCACTTTACATTCCCACTAGCAGTGTATGAGGGTTTCAGTTTCTCCATATCCTTTCCAACACTTGTTTTTTTTTCTGATAAGAGCCTCCCATGCAAAGCAAAACAACCAGCTTTGATAGCAACCAATTGTTAGTATTTTATGTAGTTCAGTCACAGATGATAAGAGCTATTCGTGTTGCATTAAAGTTTTAGACTGAAACAGTTGGTTACCATCATGTTTTCTGGAAGCCCTGGTGTGGTGCTGCGGGTTAATGCGTTGGACTGCAAGGTCAGTTTGAATTGCAAGGTTGGTGGTTCAAGTTCACCAGCCTCTCCAACTTGACAGCACTTAACAACAACAGATGTCTTTTAAAATTTGTTAGTGTGAGTAATTGAAAGTTTTCCATAAATAATAGTGCTGACAGTGTTGATTTTGAAAGATGTTATTGGGTTATTGGGTCACAACCCCTCACCCTTTTTTTTTTTTTTCCTGTTTCCAAAAGCTTTTTAAAAACAATTTCTAATTTATAATATAAGGAACTATTTCTTTCTGATGGTTTGAGAGTAATTTGCCAACCAGGTACCCTATCAACCCTGAATAGTGTATATTTTCTGCCAACAAGAACATTCTCCAGGAACCATCAAAATCAGGAAATTATAGCACTACCATCTAATGGAGTCTAGGTGTGGCACTGTAGAATAGGCATTGGACTGTTAACCACAAAGTTGGTAGATCAGACCCACCAGCCAGTCCTCGAAAACCCTATACAGGGTCACTGTGAGTCAGAAACTTCTTACCAGCACTTAACAACCACAATCCATTCGAGCTTTGCAAGTTGTCCCAGTAATGCCTTTACAGAAAATGATCCAGTACAGAATCATATTTTGCATTTCATTGTCATTTCTCTTTTAATTCTCTTCAGCCTCACTTTACTTTACTCTCCGGGCCAGTTTTCAGGCGTGCCTCTCAGTTTAGCTTATTAGCTGTTTCATCTTGATTACATTCTGGCTTTCATCCTTGGCAGCAGTGTTATAGAAGTGGTGCTCTGTCTGCATCATCGCACCCTGTTAGGTGGAACACAGCTCAGGTTGTCCTGTTAAATGATCCTGTTAGTGATCATTTATCCGACTGTGATCACTTTATTAAGGTGATGTTGACTAGACTTCTCTACTGTAAAATACTTCTTTTTCCTTTTGTCATCAATGTATGTCAAATGATATACTTTGAGATGACATAAATTTACTCAGTTGTATTCGATCACAATTTTGATGCTGAGACTGTCCCATATGTGGCCAGTGAGAACCCCTTTAGTCTGGCTCACATGTCCTTTTGTGCTCAACGTGTTTGGATCACTTCTGACTTTCTAGTGCAATAAGATATTCTAGACTTAATTTGAGCATTGCATTTGCCTTGCCTATAAGTAGCCCTAGTCTCTTTTAGTAGAAAATGCCATTTAGAAACCAAACTCATTGCTGCTGTAGGCTGTTCCTTCCTCCAGGCCCTCTCCGTGGACACAGCTGTGTATGTAAAGAATACACAAACATACATGTCATGCATGGACACAGTCATACCATACTTAAGTGATATTTCTCTGGAATACTGAAAACTGAGTTTATAGTGACACCTTCAATTGTAATGTAACAATGAAGTGTTCATTCTAGCTTTCTCTTGCCATATTTTTAACTTTCTTTTCTGATAGTGAGAAGCCTGGCTCCAAGCATCATTAATATACTTATTTATTTTAAATGACTGGATCAATCCCCCTGTATCTAACCATCTCCCAGTGCCCCTGCTTCTGTCTGGATATCCTCCAGATCCCACTCCACAGCCCCTCTTTTGCTCAAACTGCTGTTTATAACAAATACTTGATTGTACAGAATTGAGTAAGCTTTTACAGAAGAAAATTAGTTTTAAAACAAAGAAAACAAACTGAGGCCCTATTCACCTACTTAGTACTGGGACTCCTGGGTGGAGGAGGGGGAATGACAGTTTACATTTGATACTTAATGAATCCAAAATAAGAAATAAGAGATCCGGTTCTCTGTAGGAATGCTATCTTTGTTTATAAGGATTAATTGAAATAAGTCATCTACTGTGATACACCGGATGTTGTTCTGACTGTACATCTGACCCTCTAGGAAGGCACTGCAGCACATGCCTCCACTGTCCCTCTCGCCAGCATCTACCGATTTCTCAACGTTCCTGTCTCCCAGTGTTCTTGAAGAAGTGGACAGTTTCCTCATAAGGATAACTAGGTAAGACTGAGGTTGATAATGTGAGCTCTTTCCAGGGGTATAGAGGACATATACAATTGTGAGATCTTTTTAGAAAACTTGAAGATCACAGTTGAAAATGGTTCCTTTTTAGTGGCTAAAGAGAAAGTAAAATATGAATTCACCTCTCTAGCAATATCACCTGACCTCAAGTGTTGTTGAGGGGCTGTGGGGAGGGTGTATGTGGGGGTGGGAGGTGTTGCTAATCAGCTAGAACAGATGTCTGCAATATAAAACCTGCTCGTATCTGCAGCCCCTGGTCCTTAACTCACAGCTTGTTTATCATCACACACAGATTTAACAAGCCTAATTATCTGTTGCTGTTGTTGTGAGGTGCCATTGAGTCGGTTCTGAAACACTGCCTGGTCCTGCGCCATCCTTATAGTTGTTCTGTGTGAGCCCATGGGTGCTGTCACTGTGGGTTACCTGTAGCACTCACTGGGCAAAGTGCCTCTTGATAGCTTGATAAATGGGATGGATCCCTTAGGGTACATCTTGGCACTCAGCTCTGTCTCAGTGAGTAATGTCTTATATTAGAGGACACACCAGTCCTTGAGTGTCCAGGAAATTTCAAATGTTTCAGTGTAACTTACTTCAAAAAGGCAGAGCAGTGTGACGTGGAGTAGAACGGAAATACATGTTTAGTGCTTGAAGGAAGAAATCTTCAATTCTTGCCAAACCAACTCATTCTTCAAGACTTCTCAGTAGTAGAGGCTTATTGCAGTACTTGTTTATTTTTGGTTTATTTAAGATCCATTTATAAAGTGTAATTTGTTAAAATTGATATTAGAATTATATAATATTTCTAAGTTAAGGTTTTGAAATTGATAATTTTATTCCCTGGTTCTCTGGACTGAGGTTTTCCTTGAATTATTTTAAGGGCTATGAAAAAATATTTGTAATCAGCATATAGAAAGCATGTTGTTGTTGTTAAGTGCCGTCGAGTCGGTTCCGACCCATAGCGACCCTGTACAGGGTTTCCGAGGCTGAAAATCTTTATGGGAGCAGAAAGCCTCATCTTTCTCCTGCAGAGCGGCTGATAGTTTCGAACTACTGACCTTAAGGTTCACAGCCCGATTTGTAACCACTACGCTACCAGAGCAGGTTAATTTTACTTGTGATGATCTATTACAATGGGTTTGAATTACCTGGATTTTGTTATATTTTAAATAAGTGAAAACATGTTTCTTCTTGGTTTATAGTTGCTGTTCTACTCCAGAGGTGGAACTGACTCTTCTGGCTTTTGCACTTGCAAGAGGAAGTGTTGCCAAAGTGATGAGCTCGCTCTGTACCATCACTGACCACCTGGACACACAGTATGATGCCTCATCCCTCATCTCAGCCATGGCATCAGTTAGGCAGAACCTGCTCCTGAAATATGGTAAATGACCCAGGCTTGCTGGCGATGCCAGCAGTGGACACTTTATAAAACTGCCCTCAGTGTGTGACTTCCTGGCACCTTCTTGCCTTTTCAGATTGTTGGCGTTTTAGCTTGATTCCAGGATTTACATATCCTGAGCGTCTGACTTTGACTGGAATTGGTAGGCAGAAGGGGAATGTTGGTTGGTTCATTTCTGCAGAAGAGGACCCCTGGGTCTCCACTAGAATATGCTCCCCAAGATTTACTAGCCTAAATTACTCAGTTTTGGGGGCCATTCATTCACAACCACCTTTGGGAAAGTACATGAAGGTCTCATTGGGTATATCAAGAGGGTAGGGAAGATGGAGTACTCATCTGGAGGAGGGAGAAAACTAGCCAAGACGAGGTCTAAAGGCAGTCCCTGTATCCTCAGGATCACTGGTCAGAAGTGCCTCTGGCATACCTCCACTGCTCTCCTCTCCTGTGCCTGGCATTACTCCACCTTGGCACGTTTCTACTGATCAACACGGGGCCCCTAAATTCCTCCCAACACAGGAGCCCGTAGGCTGTTCCCAAATGACTGAGGCTTATGGTGAGGGCCAGCGTGTTTGCCATCACCACCTCTGGTGATTGGGTCCTGTTCTCTTCAGGTATAGAGGTGCTCTTGTGGTACTTCTGCCGTGACATCCTCACCTTTGTCTTTGATGTGGTTTGATAATTCTTTTATGTTTAATTTTGAAAGAAAAAAATTGATGTCTTAGATTTTCCTTAGATTATTTTAAGGACTGTAGAAAACCATTTCTGATAAACATAAAGAAAAAAAATGGCCTGTAAGGTTTACTTACAGTGATCAGTTACATAAATTTGGAAGGGTCTTAGTTTTGAGAAGAGCCCTGGTGGTGTAGTAATTAAGCACTTGACTGAAAAGTTGGCAGTTCGAATCCACCACCTGCTCTGCATGAGAGGGATGTGGCAGTCTGCTTCTGTAAAGATTTACACACTTAGAAACCCTACAGGGTAATTCTACTCTATCTTATTGGGTTATTCTGAGTAAGAATGGACTTGATGTGATGGGATTGTTTTTTTTTATTTTAAGTTTCTTGGGGAGAGGGTATAATATGCCTGGTTCTCCTTAGAACCACCCAGGGACATCAGATATAAGGGTCTTGCCTTTCCTGGATGGGGAGACGGGGGAAAGGGTGCTGTCAAATTTTGTCTAATATTAACGTCTCCATTTTACTTTGAAAACGGGTGGCCACTGGCGCTCCATCGCTACGACTGTGCCTGTGGGTTTTCTTTCTTTCTTTTTTGTAGTGTGTTAACTTTAGGGTCTCTCTCTTTGTGGGTCAGGTAAACCTCTCCAGTTGACTCTTCAGGCATGTGATGTCAAAGGGAAAGAAGATAAGTCAGGACCTGAAAACCTCCTTGTTGAGCCCTGGACAAGGGACGGTGAGTGGTAAATGCATCCATCCTCAGTGAATGAACGAGTCCAGCTGTGCTCAGTGAACAGCTATGTGGGCTCGCTCCGTGATCTTCTTCACTGTCAGTGTGTACTGTCCATCCTCCCTTCAGATGGCTCTTCAGGCAGCAGTGACTGCACTGGTCCTTGTATCACAAAGTTGCATCTTTATAGGTGCTTCTTATTGTTGTTAAGTGTTGTCAAATCGTTTCTGACTCATAGTGACCCTATATAGGGTTTCTGAGGAGCAGCTGGTGGGTTTGAACCATTGAACTGCACGTCCAGGGCATTATCGTGCAGTGCCACACCAGGACTCCTATAGGTGCTAATGACCTTGTCTTGTAATAACTCGCATAGACTGGAGAGCCTTCGGTTTTGAAATAAAAAGCATTGTTCTCTTATCTGCCTGTAAGTTCAGATCATCGTGTCTCTTGTGTTTTCCTGAAGGATTAAGAACCAGTGGGTCAGGAGCATTACAGCACTGAAGACATGATCTAAGGATACTTCCAGATCCTACTGCTGCCCTGGCTTTTGAGGTGGAAGGAAGGAAGCTTCACTCACTCTTTACATTGTGCCCTGCAACTTTTTGCTGTAGGCTCTTTTCTTCCTCTGTAGGGTGTCTGTGGGTCTTTCCTCATCCAGCTTATTGGCTGGCGAGTTAGTCTCCTGCATCTGTCCCTTTCCTACTCACTATTCTGCTTTGATGTAACCCTGATGGAGCAGTGGTTAAGTGTTTGGCTAATAATGGAAAGGTCATTGGTTCAAACCCACCAGCCATTCTGTGGGAGACAGATGTGGCCATCTGCTTCTGTAAAGATGTTGTTGTTATGTGCCGTGGAGTCGGTGGAAACCCTATGGAGCAGTCCTACTCTGTCCTTTAGGGTCCCTATAAGTTGGAATCACCTATAGGACTGTGGGTTTGGGTTTTGGTGTTTGATATATTGCTTTGGACTTGGTTTCCCTTGACTTTGTTTACAGCACTGCAGGCTGCCTATGTTCTCAGTGGTTGCCTTTTCTCTATCCTGTTTCCTATATTCTTCCTCAGCAAAGACCTCTGGGAAAACATGCTTTCCCCAGTTACACCTCTTCTGTTTGGTGATTTTTGTATGCAGTAAACTTTTTTTTTATTTTTAGCATTTTAATTGTGAACTGAGTAAAGGTTTCCAGAGCAGCGAATCAGTTTTACATTCAACAAATTTTGCACTTTGTTTCATCTCAATGATTGCAAGTCCCTCAGTGTAATATCAAAGTCATTGAGAAGACAAGATAGAAGGAAAGGTCAAAATGGAGGTCAGAGTAGACACTGAAACTTACTCTTCAGCATAGAGATGCTGACGCAAATGGAAGAAATGAGAAGGTATAAGAGCTGAACAGAAAATTTCAAAGGTCAGCTCAAGAAGATAAAGCAAAATATTACAACAAAATGTGCAAAGATCTGGAGTTAGAAAACCCAAAAGGAAGAACATGCTCAGCATTTCTCAAGCTGGAAACACTGAAGAAAAAATTCAAGCCTCGACTTTTGTTATTGAAAGATTCTCTGGGCAAATTATTGAATGATGATGCAGAAAGCATCAAAAGGAGATGGAAGGAATACACAGAGTCACTATAACAAAAGGAAATGGTTTATGTTCAACCATTTCAAGAGGTAGCATATGATCAAGAGCCAATGATACTGAAGGAGGAAGTCCAAGGTGCATTGAAGGAATTGGCAAAGAACAAAGCACCAGGAATTGATGGAATACAAATTGAAATCTTTCAAGAAAGTGAGGCGGCACAGGAGGCACTCACTGAACTCTGCCAAGAAATCTGGAAGATGACTATTTAGCTGACTGATTGGAAGAGATCCGTATTTGTGCCCATTCCAAAGAGAGGTGAACCAATGGAATACGGAAATCATCGGACAATATCATTGATATCCCATGTGAGTAAATTTTACTAAAGGCAATACAGAAATGACTACAATCATACATTGACAGAGAATTTCCAGAGGTTCGAGTCAGACTCAGAAGAGGATGTGGAACAAAGAATATCATTGCTGATGTCTGATGGATCTTGGCTGAAAGCAGAGAATATCAGAAAGATGTTTACCTGTGCTTTATTGACTATGCAAAGGCTTTTGATTGTGTGGATCATGACAAACTATGGACAACATTACGAAACATGAGCATTCCAGAACACTTAATTGTGCTCATGAGGAATCTGTACATGGACCAAGAGGCAGTTGTTCAAACAGAACATGGAATACTGAATGGTTTAAAATTAGGAAAGGTTTGCAAAAGGGTTGTGTTCTTTCACCATACTTATTTAACCTGTATGCTGAGCAAATAATCCGAGAAGCTGGGTTCTATGAAGAAAAACATGGCATCAGGATTAGATGAAGACTTATTAACAACCTTGCTTGCTGAAAGTGAAGAGGACTTAAAATATTTACTGATGATGATCAAAGAGCACAGCCTTCAGTATGGATCTTCTTTACATTTGCATCTTAATGTAAAGAAAACAAAAATCCTCACCACTAAACCAATAAACAACATTCTTATCAATGGAGAAAAGATTGAAGTTGTCAAGGACTTCATTCTTCTTGGATCAACCATCAACACTCATGGAAGCAGCAGTCAAGAAATCAGACGACGTATTGCATTAGGCAAATCTGCTGCACAAGACCTTTTTAAAATGTTGAAGAGCAAAGATGTCAGCTTGAGGACTTAAGGTATTTTCAATAACCTCATATGCGTACGAAAGCTAGACAATGAATAATGAACATCGTAGAATTGATGCTTTTGAGTTGCAGTGTTGGAGGAGCATATTGAAAGTGAAATGGGCTGCCAAAAGAACCAACAGATCTGTGTTGGAAGAAATGCAGCCAGAGTGTTCCTTGGAGGCCAGGGTGGCTCAAGCGTGGCAACAATTGTGAGATTGGCCCAGGACCAGGCAGTGTTTCGTTCTGTTGTGCATAGGGTTGCTATGAGTCAGTACCGACTCGATTGCACTTAACAACAGCAGCAGTGTAACATCATAAGCATTAAACTCTTGAGTAAGACGGCTTCCTTGCTCTGAGCAGCTTAGCTTCTGCAGAGCACTCTCTGTCACTCTTCAATCTCCTGACACGCTGCAGCAGGTGAAAGCCGCTGCCATGCCTGTCACCCAAAGAGGCGGGTAGGGCTGGAGGAGACTCTGGCAACTCTCTTCTCTCTTCTTTCCTCTTGTTCAGGAGAGGCATACCTTTTGCGTTTTCCCTTCGCTGTCTGAAGAATTGTTGTTTTTTTTTTTGTCTCTGGGTTATGTAAAGCAGAACTTTTCAGACACCCATCAGGGATTTTTTAAAACCTCCCTGAGCTGGAAAGGGATCTTGTGCCTGATCTAATTTAAACTGCTTTTCTCCCTGTGGGAGTCCTGATATGGCACTGTAGGATAATCACTGGACCACAAGGTTTGTTTGAACCGCAGTGTTGGTGGTTGGTGGTTGAAACTCACCAGCTGTTCCTCAGACACCCTAAATAGGGTGGCTGTGAGTCAGAACCGACTCAACGGCACTTAAGAACAACAGCATTCTCCTTGTAGGAGTCCTGGTGTGGCACTATAGAATAAACACTTGACTGTGGACTGCAGGGTCAACAGTTCAAACCCACAAACTGCACCTTGGAAATGCTATACAGGGTTACTATGAGTCAAAACTGTCACCATGGCACTTAACAACAATAACAGCAGTTCTCCCTGTGAAGGTCCCGGGGTGGCGCGAACAGCTTGAGCACCACTGCTGACCTAAAGGTTGGCAGTTCAAACCCACCTGCCTGCAGGACCAGGAAGAAAGACCTGGCAATTTGTTGCCATAAAGATTGTAGCCAAAACAACTTTCAGGAGCATAGCTTGACTCTGTACCACATGAGGTCGTTATGCACCCGAACTGACTAGAGGGCACCAGGTCCAGTTTTTGTTCTTTTCCTTGTACAGCTTACCTGTCCACCTCCCTGCTCTTGTAAATCTGGTTGTTGTCGTTTGTGGGTTTGTTTTTTCTGAGAGGCACACAGGTGGGATGTGACTGGAGATGGGAGGAGTGCTCTGTGAGTCCTGCTCGCTCCCTTCACGGCCAGCCTTGTGTCTTGTAACTTGAGTCAGGTTTGGCTGGAAATGAACCTGAAAAGATGAGATAGGGTGAAAGTCCTGACAGCTTGGACTGCTGAGTGTGAGGAGTGCTTAGTTCCCCCTTCCTTTACAGAAACCCACACTCTTTTTCCCTTCAAGTCCCCACCTCCCAGGAATTTCTCATTCTGAACAGGTGTCCTGTAGTACGAAACATGCCCACTCTGCAGCCTGAGTGGTACACTTAGCCACTGCCACTTCGGCTGGTATTTTAAAGGAGTACTAGGTGCTGCATATAGGAACTGAAATGGCACATTTATCCAGTCCTTTAAGTCTGTGGTTAGTTGTTTCTCCCTTTGTCGTTTGAAAATAATGAATCTAGCAAGGGAGGGTAGAGAGGACAGGGTGTCAAAACAATTGTTTAAAAATATCACAGTTAGAAATGGGAGCTAGTTTCTTATCCCAAAAATGGATGCAGAAAAGCTTTGAGGGTTTAAAAAAAAATTTCAGATTATACTTGGTAACAATGTTATATTAAAGGAGCCTGTCTGATTATGTTGACTTAAATTATTGCAGCAATTACTTTGAGGCAAATTTGAAATGTTGGTTATCAGTTAATTTTTAGGAAGTATTTCAGCTTTTATAATAGATTTAATTAGAGACCTCCAGACCTTTGAGAAAAGGTAACAATTCAATAACAGGGATAATATATAGTACTATTATTAGTGGAGTTGTGTGAATTTCTAGAATTACTGTATGGTAGAACTAGATCATAGAATAGCTCCCTTCTGTGAATAGTGGAGCCTCCTTTAGATATAATTTCCTAGGTTTTGGTGAAAAAATTTTCACGTTATCCTATAGAGATTCAGCTTCACAACTTTTTTTTTCATTTTAATTAGCTCAATGTGATGAAATAAGCATCATGAAATTGGTTTTAGTTTTTTAGCTTGATAAGGCAGAGTGGTTGAGAATAATTCAAGTTTCCAGGAAGAATAATTTGATCTAAGCATGTTTTTAAACCATTGCAGAGGTTACAAAGAGAAGGACAATCTTTGGTCTAGCAGTATGCCCTTTTGTGAGTTGTTAGAGGATAATTCACAACAACATCACAACATAAAATAACTTTCGTGCAAATATAAAATAAATCCATAGCAACAATTTTATTTATCTCAATCAGTAATGTTGTTGTTGTTAGGTGCCATCGAGTCGATACTAACCCATAGCGACTACACACAGCAGAACGAAACACTACCCGATCCTGGGCCCACCTCACTGCTGTTGCCACGCTTGAGTCCATCGATGCTGCCACTTGGCCAATCCATCTTGTTGGGGGTCTCCCTCTTTCTCTCTGATCCTCCACCTTACCAAACATAATATCCTTCTCCAGTGACTGGTCCCTCCTAACAATATGTCCAAAGTATGAGAGACCAAGTTTGGCCATCTTGGCCTCCAAGGAGCACTCTGGCTGCACTTCTTCTAAAATGGGTCTTTTAGTTCTTTTGGCAGCCCATGGCCCTTTCAATACTCTCCTCCAACACCATAACTCAAAGGCATCAATTCTTCTACAGTCTTCCTTATTCATTGTCCAGCTTTCACATGCATATGAGGTGATTGAAAATACCATGGCTTGGGTCAGGCACACTTTAGTCCTCAAGCTGACATATTTGTTCTTCAACACTTTAACAAGGTCTTGTGCAGCAGATTTACCTAATGCATTACGTCGTGTGATTTCTTGACTGCTGCTTCTGTGAGTGTTAATAGTTGATCCAAGAAGAATGAAGTCCTTGACAACTTCAATCTTTTCTCCGTTGATAAGAATGTTGTTTATTGTTTCACTGGTGAGGATTTTTGTTTTCTTTACATTGCGATGTAATCCATACCAAAGGCTGTGCTCTTTGATCTTCATCAGTAAATGTTTTAAGTCCTGTTCACTTTCAGCAAGCAAGGTTGTATTATCTGCATATCGCAGGTTGTTCATGAGTCTTCTTCCAATCCTGATGCCACGTTTTTCTTCATAGAACCCAGCTTCTCGGATTATTTACTCAGCATACAGGTTGAAAAAGTGTGGTGAAAGAATACAACCTTGTCACACACCTTTCTTAATTTTAAATCAGTAATGAGTGAACAAGAACAGTAAAATATTAAAACTAGGTCAAAGAATTTAAAAAACATACACAGGAATGCTGAAAGGCATTTATAATAGCTAAAATGTTGGTGACTATCCATAAGGAATAATCAGATGCATTTTCCCAGATAATATTTTGTATTTCTGTGATAAGAATCATTTGCATTTCTGTAAGTATTCTACAGTTTACGGATTTGCAAAATAGTGCAGGAACAATGATAGACAGAGATACCCCAAAGAGAGTCCTTTTGACAGGTCAGCCAGTAATCTTGTGTTGCCTGTTTAGAAGTCTTTCACTATCCTTCCTTCTACACATTGTCTAATTCCTTGCACAGACTGTAAGCCTGTGGGAGTTTATGATCCCAGACAGATATCAGTCGTGCTTTTAGGAGTGACTTCATGAAGATGATTATTCAGACTTTTGTCTCCCTGAAGGAAAGTCACAAGCTTTAGAACCCATCTGTTCATTGTTTCCCTCAGAGCAAGCCTGCTTGAAGGTTAAAGAGGCTGCACCTGGCCATCCAGTCGGTTCTGACTCAGAGGCATATCATTGAGGCTGACTGTCTTAGAGTCAAAGTGAAATCATTTTTCATGAAGGCACTGTCCTCCGTCAAAAGACAGAGTTTATTTATTTTTAACTTTTTATTGTAAATTGAGTGAAGGTTTACAGACAAAGATCATGAGTTTTACATTCAAGAAATTACACACTTTGTTTCATCTCACTTTGCAAGCTCCTCATGCAACAATTAATCCACTTCCTCCCTGTGGCTCCTATTTCTGTTCTACCCACCTTCCCATCCCTTCTCAACTTTGTCCTAAGGTAAATGTTTCCCTCTTGATTTTTTTAACTTTTTTTTTTTTTTTTGTGACTTGAGTGAAGATTTACAGAGAAGATCATCAGTTTTACAATCAACAAATCATAACACTTTGCTTCATATCAATGATTACAATCCTCTCCAGGCAACAACAGTTAGCTCCTTCCTGCCTGTGGCTCCTGTTTCCATTCCACCGTCCTTCCCATCCCTTCTCAATTTGGTCCCTAGGTAAATGTTGCTCTTTGAATTTTGAATGATTGACCATTTCGTGGTGAGCATATCTTAAGATAGAGTTTATTTTTGTTGATTTCTTAGTTCTAAGAGTTCTTAGAAATCCTAACTTTAGTTGTTGGTTTTTGTTTTGCATTCAGGTTTTCTTACAGAAACTGGAAAAACCCGAGCAAGTACAATTTTTTCTTCAGGCTCTGAGTCTGCCTTCCAGGTCACACAGATCCGAATTATGGTAATTCTCACGCTACCTTCTCTAGGCAACCTCCTCTAAGGTTATTATTTAAACCTCTAAAATAGGATTGTGTTTCAGAGGTCCATGTCATTGGTTCTTGTTTCATTCTGGGTCAGGCATGTAGCACAGGATAGGGACACAAAAATGGATTGAATAGATTGTTTATGTCTGTGTATGGTGTCAATCTAGGGCTTGAGAAAGGTAAGGAGTCATTTCTTGTGTCACAGTTCATGGAATTGGGAAGCAACTTTCTGACTTTTCTAAGACTGGTTGTATTTGAAATATCATTTCATTGGTTTGATTTTGCTGTAAACTGTTTGAACTTAGCCATATTATTTACGAACAAAACGATCCCAGAGTTTTTGCTCTTGTTATTTCCAGGTTCGACGTGGGGGCATTGGTGCCCAGTGTGGACTGGTGTTTGCCTATAAGTCACCATCTGATAAATTTCATGCAGAAGAACACTTCAAAAGGTTTGAAAAATATGACAAGTGGAAGCTTAAGGAGTTCAGGCAATTTGTAAAAAGCAGGTAAATAAAAGGTTAAAAACCTTTATAGTTATTAATAATCCGTATGTTCACTTATTGTAAAATGTGCCTTGTTTTTATAGAACGGGTATCACTAACCCATCCTCAGTGGCATCAGCATCATTTGTGAAGCTGTGCATGTTAATTTGTTCATAGACTTACCTGGTCTCATCTGTGAACAGAGACATGCATCTTCAAAGTGCCTGGTAATCATAATATGTATGAATTGTGTACACCTGAGGCCTTCAGTCTTACCCAGCCACTGGGAAATGCACCCACATTCAATACCCCATCACACCCATCCAGTGCTTTTATCAAAAATAGTTATTAAGCACCTACTGTGTACCTGACACTGATGATACTGTCTTGCTTGCTATTTAGTTCAGAAAGAGACGCTAAAACTTGCAGGGTCAGCAGTGTGATGGATGTGCTGTAGGACAGGTGGCTTTGGGAGCAGGTGTTATTTGAGGTGAGAGCTAAAGGATATCTTCATTAGGAGCCATCAGCCACTTGTAGAGGTGGGAGAAGAGTGCCCCAGCGTAGACAAGAGCAGATATGAGTACACAGAGTAGGGAAATACGTCACACTTGTTATTGTTAGGTGCCACTGAGTTGGCACCGACCCATAGTGATCCTGTGCATAACAGAATGAAACACTGCCTGATCCTGGACCAACCTCATAATTGTTGCCACACTTGAGCCCACTGATGCTGCCACTTTGCCAATCCATTTCGCTGGGGGTCTTCCTCTTTTTCTCTGACCCTCCACCTTACCAAACATGATATCCTTCTCCAGTTACTGGTCCCTTCTGACAATATGTCTGAAGTATGAGAGACGAAGTTTGGCCATCCTGGCCTCCAAGGAGCACTCTGGCTGCACTTCTTCCAACACAGATCTGTTGGTTCTTTGGCAGCCCATGGCACTTTCAATATTCTCCTCCAATACCATAGTTCAAAAGCATCAATTCTTCTGCGATCTTCCGTATTCACTGTCCAGCTTTCACATCTTTATGAGGTTATTGAAAATACCATGGCTTGGGTCAGGCGCACCTTAGTTCTCAAGCTGCCATCTTTGCTCTTCAACACTTTAAAAAGGTCTTGTGCAGCAGATTTGCCTAATGCAATAATACATCATTTGATTTCACACTTAGGGACCTGAAAATTCTCATGTAGCTAAGAAATGAGGGGTGAGAGATGAGACTTCAGAGTGAGGAAAGGGCCAGGCTATTAAAGGTCTTTTGATCTTTATTAAACTTTGTCCTTAAAACAATATGTGCAAGTGCTTACCAGAAAAAATAATTGGACTAGAAGGAAGAAAGGAGGGGACTTCTGATTTGGGATGGCCACTATGACCCACCACAATCATTTTGAAGGAAGTGAGCAGATTGAGATAAAGGAGAGCATGCCTGTTGCAGAAACCTTTGGTTGTACGATAGGATGAATGTAAAGCTAATGTTCTCCCATGTAAACTATCACATAATTCACAATAAAACATAAAAAAAGTAAAAAAAAAACAATATGTGCATATAGCAGCGGGGAGGTGCCTGAGGGTGTCACGAACACGAGCAGGGAGAAGCAATGTATGCTTGAGAAATCTTGCTCTGGAGCATGCTGTGTGTAGCATGGGTTGAGAACCAGCATGGAGATGGCAAAATGGCAGGTGGCATCATTGTCACTTAGGCAAGTCAGGGGAGTGAGTGACCCTAACTAGGGCAGCACCAGCAGCGATAAAGAGATGTGGACAAAGTTAGAGACCACGAGAAGGCGGACCACTCGTCTGTCTGTCGTGCTGTGGTGGATTGAGTTGCTGTGATTCTGAGGGCTATACCACCGGTGTTTTAAATAACCAGCAGGGTCACCCAT